CTAAAGCGTTCTCCTGCAGTGAAAGCATCACCCCCTCCTCTCCTCTCCCTCCTGCAGCACAGTTCAGCCCCATCGTCTGCATTTGCAAGTGGGGAAACTGAGGCTGGGGGAGGTGTGTGGGGATGGCCCAGATTCCTTTCTCCGCGTCCAGTTTCCAACCATCCTGTCCTGACTGGTTGTCATGTGGTTGTTAGCCACTGTGTGAGAACTGGAAACACACCTGTAGCAGCTAAAAGTGGTTCCATCACTAAAAAACCTCAGGTGTCAAACTGTCATATTTGTTTACAAGAGGGCAAGGAGGGTTAAAAGGGCAGGACAGCAAGTTTTCTGTGTCCTTATGTGGTTTGAATTGGTGCTAAGGTCAATAATTGCCAAGTCTCTGCAGTGATCATGCAAGGCATGACCATCACCACTAGCTGGTCCTCTCATTAGCTCCATCAGAGATGTCAAGAAATTAAACCTGAAACCCTAAGGAAAAGCAAAATGCATGGATCGCAGATCGTTTGTTAGTGTTCACTGATGCTGGTGCTAATGCTTTCAATAAGCCTAATGAAAAGCGTTTGACTGTCTCCGTGAACTTGATTATTGATTATTAGTGAACAATAAGAGTCATCTGATATCTCGCTGGTGCCATGCTCCTATTGCACTGCAGTTAAAATGTCAGTTAGCGTGCCATTTAATATTCTATTAGTATTGAATTAGCACTTATTACACTGTGAAAATCATCACCATAAATCCTTATTAAAGCGTGATCCATACAGCTGGGTGGCATCTTTGGCAGACTAAGAGGGTGCATGTGTGCAATAGACATACTGAGATGCATCATCTGGAGAAGAGAAGGCTCACAGGGGGACCTTATCAGTCTCTACAACTACCTGAAAGGAGGATGGAACCAGGAGGTGGCTGGTCTCTTCTCTCCAGTAACAAGTGATAGGATAAGAGGCAATGGCTTCAAGCTGTGCCAGTGGAGGTTTAGGTTGGATATTAGGGACAATTTCTGTCCAAAAGGGTGGTCAGGAATTGGAACAGGCTACCCAGGGAAGTGGTGAAATCACCACCCCTGGAAGTGCTCTCAAGCCGTGTAGATGGGGCCCTTAGGGACATGGTTTAGTGGTGGCCTTGTCAGTGCTGGGATAATGGTTGGACTTGATCTCAAAGGTCCTTTCAACCTAGTGGATACTATGATTCTATGATCATCCGCATGGAAGCATGTTTGGAGCATGTCAGGACATGGAATTTCCACATCTGTACATTGATTTTCCCTGACAGTTTGAGAGGAACAGGAATGCTGAACAGAGCAGCTCAAATCCATTTCACTTACCCTTCCCATTTTCCTTGCAAGGTTGTCTGACTGTAGCTATTGACCGTCTTCATAGGGCTGACCTCAGGGGGTGTAGGACAGGTCATGACACGTTTTCTCTTCAGCAAAGAGAAGGGGAGGTCCCTGGGTGAGTGTCCCATCAGGAGAGAGATGATGAGGCTTTTGCTCCAATTGCACAACTGAGCTGTTCCTGACCTGAGGGACATCGCAGGGTCATCTTTGCTCCCTCCAAGCAGAGGCTTGTACTGACTAGGTGCAGGGCAGAGCCACATGGTGCTGCACTGTATCACGTAGCTCTGCAGTGTAGGTCTAGATAGCATCCTGGCTGGTGCAGTGCATTGGTGTGCTGGGGGATTTTCAGACATGACTCAGAAACTTTAGCCGTTAATCTGCTTAGCTGCTCACCGCCACCCTCCTGGGGGCTTTCACAAATCCAAAATGTACAGAGAGGGGGTTTGAACACCTCTGGAAAAGACCTAACCCCCAATTCTCAGTGCTGCTATGACTGCTCAGGAATGTGTGTGCAAGAAGACTGGTGACCCTAAGGCAGCTGGCTCTGGAGACACTCTGGATATGCCTACAGCACCCATGCTCCCAGCCCTGGCGTTCAATGCTCTCCCCGGGTCCTTTCTTCTATCTGCTATCGCTGGTGATTACAGCCTGGGGTGCTCAACTGAACCAGGGCACTGCCATAGAATCACAGAATGGTTTGGGTTGGAAAGGACCTTCAGATCATCCAGTTCCAACCCCCTGCCATGGGCAGGGATGCCTCAAGCTAGACTGAGTCACCCAAGGCTCTTTCCAACCATGTCACAGCGGTGCTGGTTTCTACAGGTAGGTCCCCTGGAGTCCCCTGCCAAAGCACAGCTTTTAAAAACAACATAGATCACCGCTGAAAGCTCTCCTCATGGCAAGTGCGTGCCTGGCCGGGAAAGTGGGCTCTGGCCTCCCTTAGCTGGATGGTGACAGTGCTGACCAGAGTCTTTTGGGCTGCTCTGTAAAGCAAATGTTTGTCATATCAGATCTGTTTCCAGTTTGGCCAGCAGCATGGCATGCCTCCCATTGATGTCCACACAGCCTGGCTTTCCTGTTGCCCATAAGTAACCCCAGAAGAGCTTGGAGAGCATCCATGGGCATGCTAAAGGGAGGGGGTATGGTAGGGTCATGTTGCAAGGCACAGCAGCTGCAGGGCAGCATGAATGAAATGCATTCAAATAGAGGAACCTGGAAACTGTCTGACCCGTGTTAAGAGGCTGTATGAAAGCCTACTGTCAAATACTTGTCTTATCTGGAAGCAACAGTCTTTATCCTCTCTCTTTTCTCTTGCAAGCACACCGCATGCATGATTAACTGTGGGGAGAGGTGCCAGATTATTTGGATGCCGGGAGGCTGTGGGCAGAGCTCTGATAGGTGAAGGACCAACAGCTCCTGAGGCTAAGCTTCCCCATTTATCCGCAGAGCAAATATGGTGTGTGCTGCTACAGGGCAAATCCTCTCAGCCAGTCTGAGCCTGGCCCTGATGGGTACGGCTGCCAGGGTGAAAGAGGAGTGGTGTCCCCATGTCTTCTTCAGCCCTAGACCTCTCAAATGAGACACACCTTAGAGCAAGCAGGACATGCCTTCTCACTGGCATCTCCTCATCTCTTGTGGGTAGGCCACCTTTTGGAGGTGGGAAGTAGTACAGAGCAGGTGCCTTGGCCCAAAATGCATTTGTCTTCACAGCACCTTCTACCAAGGAACAAAACGCTTGTCATGCAGTTCCAGCAGGGTTAGTCTATCCTCTGCCTTGCAGTGGTGGGAAATCAGGGCTGTGGCAGTTGTTGGTCCTGCTGCTGCTCCTCTGCCTGCTGCCCCTTGCTGTCATTCCTCCTCTCCTGTCTCACTGGGATGTTCCCAGGACATGCTGCATGTGTCAAAGGGATGGCAGTGACACCCCTGAAGCCTCTCCTTTTCATCCTGAAGCCTGCACTTGGTTGCACAAGCAGGCAGATGTGCATGGGCAAGATGTGCATGTGTGTGTGTGTGTGTTAGGAGGGTGGTGTTGGAGGAGTGAATCTCCTTTTTGACATAGCTGTTTCTTGCTAGCGGGGTGGAGAGGGGGACACACACTAGAGCTCCTTCCCCTTGTGCTGTTGAAAGTGAGGGGTGGAGCGTCTGTGCCCTGAGCTGACACAGCCCTGAACCTTTGCCCTCCAGGCTGGCAGGGGTCTGGGGAATAACACTCTTGTATACTTGAAGGTGAAGGAAAAGCATGGGAAGAACTCCTTCTGACCTTTCCCATTGGCAGGGTTAGAAGGGATTTGGTGACCAGAATCTCTTGTAACCTTCCAAAGTCCTTTTTGGCACAGGTGTAGGCTACAGACAAAAAGAAGAGAGAACATGCATGGCCACCCCAAATCCCATGGTTTCATGAAACTAATGTTCCTGAAACCCTTCAAAAAATCACTGAGAAATACATGGCCACAGGGCAGCAATGGTGAGGAGGTGCTCTGGTTCTCTGGCAAGGCAAGAGTGTACTGTGGTACTAATGTAGTAAATGGAAGGGACAAAATGGAGATGATGGAGAGGTTTCTTAATCTCCCCCTCGTCCTTCTCATCCTCTGCAGGTGTTATGTAGAAGACAGAAGCTCCAAGGTGGCCTGGTTAAACCGTTCTGGCATCATTTTTGCTGGAGAGGACAAGTGGTCCCTGGACCCTCGAGTAGAGCTGGAGAAGAGAAACCCCCTGGAATACAGCCTGCGGATCCAGAAAGTGGATGTCTATGATGAGGGCTCCTATACGTGTTCAGTACAGACACAACATCACCCCAAGACTTCCCAGGTTTACTTGATTGTGCAAGGTAAGCAACATGCCTGAGAAGAGAAGCAAAGAGCAAAACACAGTGGGTGGAGGGATCTGTATCTATCTTAGAGAAACCCCAAAGTCAGTATAATTTCATGGTATAACAGAGAGTAAACACATTAAGGAGTTCACCAATTACTGGTAAGGGCATTAAGGAGTTTGTTTGTTCCATCCCGTCCAGATCAGAATACCAAACAAGTGAGTTTACTCGGTTTTAGTTTGTTTTGCTTTTAATCTTCACACCATTCTGTCTATCTGCCTATTTATCTAAAATATTTATAGAGCAGCTTAAATAGATAGGTGTGTATGAATGTGTTTGATACATATTACAGATAGGTTCAGCTTCTACATTATCATTCAGGCAGGAGTTTGTTGTTTCTTCTGCTTTGTCTGGTAACCCCAAAGACTGCAGATTTTATTTCCCCCAACAAGTGTTTGAATCTCTCTGGATATAAATGCATGCATGAAGGGACTCTTCTTCTTGCTGGCATCACTTGGCAAGCTGGGGGCTAACTAGCATACGGAGTGTTTATCTGCAAGGTGAAGTCTGGACGTATGGTCAGAGGTCGTGCTTTACATGTGAGTTTAGTGAGACAGAAAGCTCCTGGTTAGTTTTCTTGTACAAAATCCTCCCCCAGCAGTGTGAATAGCAGCTCTCCTGGCTTGGCTGAGTGTTTGCTGGAGCATGCAGTGCACTCACCGGCCCTGGAGCTGTACCCTGCCTCGCCGCTTGCTATAGCACTGCACAGCTAACTGGCTGTAGGTGGTTTATTGCTGCTAAAATCTGACAGCACACCATTTCCATTTACCTGTCAAGAAAAACATAGGCACAAATGAATTTTACAGCCTTGCGCATGTAATATTAATTCCATTTGTGCCTATCAGACATGGGCCTAAGCAGGAAAATTATGTTCTGTGACTTAGCTTTCACCTAAACGTGTGGGTGTCCAGCTCTGAATGACTATCACCTTTCTGGAGATGAGAAAATACAGGTTTTGGCACACCTGAACTCTAGATGCCTGTAAACAAGGTACCTGTGGATAATCTTTGTTCTAACGCCCACCACAGATTTAAGAACAAACGCATTGCAATATTGTGTTTACTTTTAAAGCCCCAGGTCCTGTAACCCTGTAATTAGGTGAAACTCAGAGCTTTGATTTTCCCAAAATTAAATTTCACCTGGTAAAAAAACCCACAAAAAACCCAAGCAGAACATAACTACAAAATCCTTTTCAATTTGGAAGAGTTATACTCATCATTTTAAACCATGCTTTAAAAATAATCTGAACTAATAAAACTAATTTGTTACAAAATAGTATCTGTTAGAAAATAATCTTTTTCCTCTCCGAGTATTATTTTCTCATATTGATTATTATTATTCTCAGATTTGGAGGTTGTCTGCCTGAAAAATAGTCTGCCGCTAGTAAAAATGAAAGGAGTTGGGATATTGAGTCTAGGTTTTTTAGTTGTATTTATTCAATGTAGTTTATTTACTCCTTTTTGTGTTCATAAATTTAAAATCACTGGCTATGTGAAGCTCTGGCCATCCCAAATGCAAAAACAAAGAAAGAAAAAGAAAATACAGCTCCTGAAAAGATTAAATAATAGGATGGTCAACTGGTATGCCTGGCAAACTGGCAGGAGGATTCCTGGAATGATGGTCAGTGATTCTCTATGGAGAAGCCCAGAGAAACCAAAGCAGGGTCAGAGACTCTTTGCTTGCCTTGCACACATTGGTGATGTCTGGATTTGTTAATGAAAGATCCTGCAGTGATAGCTGCTCATGCCCCGGCAGCAATAGGGGGTTTCTTGTTCTGGTCAGTTAGCACTGTGATGGGTATTTCTGCTCCCCACTGCTCTGTGAGCTGAAGACAAGTCCTTAATCTCCCCCAGTTCAACTCCCTCATCTGTATAGCCACTGTGAAAACCCAGCCCCTGTTCTGCCTAGAAACACTGGGATAGCTGCAGCAGAGACTAACAGGTAGGCAGGTACTGGAGTGATGCCAGAGCCCTTTTAAGCAGAGAAGACTGCTTCCATGTCCACAGTGCCAGCTGAAATAGATGGGCTTTGGTGTATCCTGAAATCACTGCAGGCTAATGGAGTTGCATTCTAGGAGCAGGTCCTTTCCTCCCTTGAGAAAATCAGCTTTCCCTGGGGTCAGCTCTCCTCAGTGAACTCTGCTGGTCATAGCTGCAGGAGTATGTCTCAGAAAGAGAGCCATCACCTCTCTAATGTGTGTGCCCATGTCCTTTTATATTTCCAAGGGAAGAGCCAATTCTACCTTGTCAGCCAGCATCCATCTCTGCATAGACAGCTTACTCAATCTGCTCCTTTCCTCTCTTAAGTATGTATGTCCACTCTCAGCTGAAACATATTGCAGAGGTCTAAAAGGGGAGTATTGAAATAACAGCAAAAAAGTCGTCTTCATAAGTCTTTCCTCCTTCTTAAACTTAAAGCCAACTCTGCTGGTAGAAGTAGGCATTCACTGTCCATGGCCATCTCTTCTGCCTTTCTGACCCACTGCTTGAAGGGTAGGTTGGATTGGAGGCATCTGTCTCTGCCCAGCTCAGTTGCTGGGGTGAATACATGGAGGGGCTACTCTGAATCACCACCTCACTCAAAAAGCATTTCGTGCTGCTTTAGTTGGAACATAATGGCTATTAGTGAATCTTTCTGTTTCCTACTTCAGATATTTCTGTTGGTATCTGATTAGAGTAGCAAAGAGCTGGAAGGACCAATAAGAGGTAGTCTGGCCCTTCTCCATGCAGTGAGACAAGATCAGCTATACAGTAGCTGCCCCTAACATTTATTCTTTAAAGACACTCTGTGCCTGCACAACCAGGTGCATGGCCATTATTATACTCTCTTTGACTTGGAAAGCTTTTATTAACTTACAATCCAAATTGATTTTGCTGCCAATTATTTCTGGTCCTTCAAAGACACGTGGTGGTAATTTCTCCTTTTACTCAAAACTACATTTTATCTGCTAGAAGCTCATTAATCCCTGTGTTGCAGACCTCTCTAGTCAATCTTAACAGCCTCACTGCTTCTCGCAGGTCGTATTTTCCAACCCCTATGTCATATGTATTTCACTAATGTCTGGTTTGTCTATGTGTTTCCTTAGGTGTACTGTCTGAAACCAAAGCAAGAGTTCCAGTTTAGGACTAAGTCATGCAGATAAGAGCACCAGCTGTGTTTTGTGTATCATACTTCACTTACCTAACCCCAGAATGAGATGAGATTTACTTTTTTTTTCATGAGTGCCTCATTGCTTTTGCTTGTTCAGTCTCTCTGCTGTTTTCTAAGTCTCTCTGCTGTTTTCTAAGCCTCTCTTACTGGTCTGCAGCACAGTCTGTAACTCATTCCCCATATTTAAGCATTGATTGTTTTTCCCCCCTTCCTGAGTATAGTGCTTTGTGTTTGCTGTTGTTGGATGCCATCTGGTTGGTCTCTCCATGGAGACCACCGGAGATCCTGGACTCCAAAGAATTTGCACATGCCCCCAACTTAGTGTCATCAACAAAAGTCAGATTCCTTCTTTTCGTTCCATATGAAGGTATTTATTAAAGTATTGAAGAGATCAGGACATGTAAGTGGACTGTGGTAGCAGCCCACTAAAACCTCCATCCCTGATGGATAGCAGCCTGGTGATTGCAGCTCTCTAAAGCATCCTGATGGTGATTTATCGTCCTCGATGTTCTCTTAGCTTGTTCAAGAGACTGTTAGACCTTCTGAAGTCAAGATATATCACACCATCATACATACTGCTCCTGCATTATCTCTTATGTCATATATCCCACCAAAAAAAAAAGGGAATGAGGCTGGGGTGACATGATATGTGCTTCCCAAAAGTACGTTGCTTATTTTTTATTTTACTGTATTATTATCCTTATAAATGGGGTGTTCAATTGTTCATTCCAATATGTTGAGCGACTTGTTCCAGGAGAATCAGATGTAACAAGGATGTGGTGTCTGTCCCTTTCCCCAAATTACCTTGGGTTATCATTTTAGGGCTATATCTTTAAGCCCTTCTCAGGAATTAAATATCAGTGAAGAAATGCCTATAGTCATAGGATCACATTATGGTTGGGGTTGGAAAGCACCTTAAGATCATCTAATTCCAGCCCCCTTATTTGTCTCATCAGAGTCACAGGCACAAAAGGCACAGTGATTTTAGCAGGCATGGGTTTTAAAAGGTTTCTGCGATAAAGTCTTGGGCCTGCCCAAGTCAGGCTAAAGGAGTAACTCTTTCAACTAGGAGCAAGCAGATGGTTGCTGTATTTGCTGTCCAGAGCCTTTATAGCAAGGCAGCATTGTGAATGGAGATGATGTGGAACTTTTCAGTGAAACTAAAGCATTCCACTGGTTTTGGCTTTGATTAAAATTTAATAGGGGAGGTTTTACAGGTCTGAGGTGCTTTTTCTAGTCAAAATTGGGAAGAGAAAAAGGTACAGCATTGCCACAGCCTATCTAAAAGATAGAGCGTTCAGCTAAAGTATGAAGATCTCCCATTTGCATTTGTGCTCAGATCCTGGGAATCCTGCAGGCTCACTAACATTTCTTGTGATTTCCAGTTATTGGCTGTTCAAAGGATGTGGGCTCTCCCTTGCTTTAATGTTTATTTCATGGCAAAAGCAAAATCAAAAGGGCTTTGTGATTTTGGCAAAACAAAAACAAATCTGGAACCGTCAGCAGCAAATTTTCACAAAGAGGAATTCTTGTTTACTGCCCAGCCCTAATCACAAACTCCAAGTCAAATGTATAGCAGCTAAAGGCCAAATCCTACAGTTTTCTTTCAAACTGATAGGCATTAGTGTATGAAAAGAACCACAGGGTGTAGCCTTTCTCCGTTATGCATTGCCTTTATAGATCTCCCTGCTTGCAAGTGTTCAGACTGACCATGCATTGTTTCAAAGTGGTATAAAGATGCATTTGTTGTCACTGGGATTTAATCATAGAAAATTTATTATTAACTCTATGTGGTAGATTAGTTGTGC